GTTCAGCAGCAGGGCTGCCAGATTTAGCAAATAGAAATACAGGCACACAGTGAAATTAGAATTTCGACAAACAATGAATAATGCTTTAGTATAAACCTGTTCCAAATACCACATCCTGTATTTTCCCTGGCAATCACATCCTCTGCTACATGGTGTTTAGGCAGAGGGTTGGTGCTGGCGTGGGATTTACCGTTGTAGACAAACTGGGGCAGACCCAAGACTGTCTGCACCACCCAAAGCGCTCACCCCGGCAATGCAAGAGCCATGGAAAGGGGCTACAGCCAGTGGCCCGGACAGACAGAACCCAGCCTGCACCCGTCTTATTGTGCCTCAGCCCCGAGGCCTCCCGACCCAAGCTGAACAGGACTCGGAGGTGTCCCAGAAGGGACCTCACTCCCTGCAGCTCCTTGAGGCCCAGGCCCATTTATTTGCTGACTCAGGTCAGCATCTGAAAGAGTTCACGTTGGTTGCAGCACCATTCACCATAGCCAAGAGGTAGCAGCAACCCAAGCATCCATCCAGCAGTTCTCAACCTTCCTAATGTGCGGCCCTTTAATGCAAACACAGTTCCTCATGTTGTGGTGACCCCCAACCATAAAATTATTTGCGTTGCTACTTTATAACTGTAATTTTGCTACTGTTATGAATCGTAATGTAAATATCTGATATGCAGGATGTATTTTCATTGTTCACGACCCACAGGTTGAGAACCGCTGCAATGGATAAAGACAGTGCGGTAGATACATGCAGTGGGTCAGTATTCATTCTTGAAAAGGAAAGGGACTCTGACACGTGCTCTGACATGGATGGCCACTGAACGCACTATGCTAAGTGAAATCAGCCAGTCACAAAAACACACTGCACAATTCCCCTTACCTGAAGTATCCAAACCTTCTATGCTATATCAAACTCACAGACACAGGAAGTAGAGTGGTGATTGGCAGGGGCTAGGGGAGAAGCAGGTGTGGGTTGCTTGGCGGGTGCAGAGGCAGGATGGGAGGCCCGGGCTCTGGCGCACAGCGGTGTGCTTGTTGGTGACCGTACTGTGCTGTACGCTTGGAAATTGCTGGGAGGGTAAGTTTTGTTTTGCGTTTTTCTGCCACCATTTTTTTAAAAAAGAATACTATACAGGAAAAAATATCCTGCTACATTCAATAATGTACAACTGCTTTGTTGCAACAAAAGACATAATATTAAGCAAAAAGAAGCCATTCTAAAATATTAAAAGGAAAAAAGAATTCAAGTTGGGTCTCTGCCTTTTGTGGGGCATCAGTGATCCTCCTACATCCCCCAACTCAAACTCAGGCCTCTTTTTATTATTGTTATTTCCCTCCCAAGGCTTTTTTTTGGCTAACGCAGGAGTGAGGAGACCAGGGTTCGAGTCTTCTCTCTGCCACTGATGTACCTCAATTTTCCCATCTGTACAATGGGAAAAGAGGTGTGGTTACTGGGATTTCTAAAGTCCAGGTCCTGGGGGGAGAGTGCATGGTCAGAGGATGTGGTCAGTGAGGGTCCAGTGAGAGGCTGCTGGGCCCTGGAATGTAAGACCCTGGTGAGGTGGGCTGGCTGGCAGATGAGGTAGGCGAGCTCCCAGACTGGCCTTGGGCAGCAGGAGAGAAGGAAGAAGCTCTGCCCACTCATTCTGTGACCTTCACCTAAGCAGGTGCCTGTCACACGGTGAAGGGCAGCAGGCGCATAGCAGTGGGTGGTCTTGGGTGTGACCATGGAACGAGATACGAGGTCTGGTTGGGGCAGTGACAGGGCCTCAGGCCCCGGAAGGTGAGGCATCTGTCCTGCAGGCTTGGGGACGGGCCTCGGCCTCCTGTCTCTGTTTCGGGTGACAGTTGTTCTAAGACAGGCCACCCTGGGTCTAGAAGTTTGTGTTCAGTGGGTGATCCCCTCACTCGGCTCCCATCCTCAGCTAACATTAGCTACCTGTGGCCATTCCGGTCTAGAGAATTCATCCACGAATGCACCATAGAGAAGGAAGCGACTAGAAATAGGATCTAGACGGCTGTGGGGTAATAATGGAGAATTAGTGACCTGCATTCTGGCCCTTTCTGGGCCTCAGTTTCCTCATTTATTACCTGAGGATGAGAGTTCCTGCTGGCCCACCAGGCAGGGTGGCTGAGAGGCACAAAGGAGGCATGGGTGTGAAGTGGGTAAAATGAGGAGCCACTGGAGGCGCAGAGGACAGGAGAAGCGGGGCTTGAGGCAGGGAGGCCAGAGGAATCTACTCTCCCTTCCTGGAAACTGAGCCCGGGCAGCCCTGTTGTTTGCAAGTTCTCATGTGCCTTCCTACCCCTTCCTACCCCAGCCAGGACAACCAGGGTCTGGGGTCAGGGCAAGGCACTGGCCACCTGCAGCTCCCTGGGCAGGGCTGGGGAAGGGGCTGGGTGTAAACAGCTGGTGCTCATCCTGAAAGCAGTCATGTGATGCCTGTAACAGTCCGCTGCCTGGGCCTGGGCAACACCCACCTCCCCAGCTCTCTGGGCTCCCTGCTGCCATCCTGTTCACCCGAAACCTTGTATCCCAGGAGTCTGGAGGCAGCTGAAGAGGACGTCCCTCCTGTCCCCACCTCCTAGCTCCCTTTGCAAAGAAGGAATGTTCCATTGCTGGGCATCAAATGCTGTGATCAACAGGAAACTCAGAAGAGCAGCCAGGATTTGCAGGAGAAGCAGAGGGGAAAGTGACTCAGCAGAAGAAACCTTGCTGGTGGATGTTCTGGACTGCTATTTTGGGGCTCTGGGTGATGGCCAGGTTCTGGTGACAGGTGCAAAGCCTTGCGTCCAGGTGCCAGCTGTAGTATTCATGCCCATTGGCTGGCCGAGGGAGGCCGAGGGGGCTTGGCAAGGAGCTCCTGTGGGCGGGTCTGACCCTGCCTCACCCGATGTAAGACACACAAATGGGCGCATGTCCAGTGGGGAGCCGTGTGCCAGGTGGAGGCATCAGGAATCAGAGGAGATGCTCAAATCTTAGGGGCCCCTCTCCCCTCCGGGAGCACTGCCTTCTAGTCAAGAAAGGGAGTGAGGCCCTAGCCGATTTGGCTCGGTTGATAGAGCATTGGCCTGCGGACTGAAGGGTCCCGGGTTCGATTCCGGTCAAGGGCACATGCCTGGGTTGCGGGCTTGATCCCCGGTGGCGGGTGTGCGGAATTCTCGTGACAGAGAGCCTGTCACTTTGAAAGCCACCCAGAGCTAAGCCATCTCTGTTAAAAAAACAGCTTCTTCCAACTCAACTGCAGTTGTCTCCTTAAAACTTGTCCTTTTTATTCACATTGTCCTGAGCCCTGGAGCCACAGAGATCAAGTCCAATCCGCTGTTCCCGTGCTAGTGGATGAGTTAGGGTATCTGCCCGCACGGCGGTCCAACTCCAGTCCTTCCCTCAGGGTTAGGACGCAGGGTATCGCCGTTTCCACCCCAGGGCCCCACACTGTTCAGGCAGAGCAGTCCCAGCTGAGGCTGCAGAGGGAACGGCCACAGAGGGACAGAAGCTGCCCGCTCCCGCCTGCCAGCCGGGCCCTCAGAGAGCGCCCCCGGCCTCAGCCAGGTCATCTGTAGGTTGGCAAGAGCTGCTGTTTCGATAGCTTCAGCACGTGTTTTAGTTTTAACCCAAACCAGAACCTTTCCTATTAAACAGCAAAGAAAAGGCCTTCGCAGCTGAACGCGTTCCTAAAATAAGGGGCTCATTAAGCCACATGCCAGCCAGAAAGAACCAGGTCCTGCCGCACGCAGCGCAGCCGCCAGCAGCAGCGCCGGATGAAAGGAGGAGACACTGCGGCCTGGGCTCCTTCGTGCTTCGGGTTCAAGGGAGAAAGATGTAAGTTGTTTGAAAGAATCGGCTACAGATGAAGGGTGTGCAGAGGAGTGTTCTGGGGGAGGGGCAGAGGCCCTAGGGAAGCAGTGGGAGCTGTTGAGGGTTGGTTGTGGGCAACAGTCCGGAAGGCCACGCGCAGCAAGGCTGGAGGCGCCTGGTGGTCTGTGGCTCCTGGTGGTTGGCTCCTCGGCTCTTCTCCTTTAGAGAATCCAGAAAGCCGCCTGGACGGTAATGCCAAGCATCCACCGACACTCAGGCACGGGAGCCGTCTCTGTTGGTTTTGTCCTGCAGCTGTGGCTGATTAACCTCTCTTGTCTCTTCCTTCCGACCTGTGGCTTACTGTCGATCAGGACATCTCCGTTGTTTGTTTTTTTCATCATTGCTGTCATTTAATTCAGGACATCTCAGTTGGGGGGTCTGGGTCATCTGCCTCGTCAGCGCCGCACATGCAGGTGCCCCTGCTCAGTGGTCAGTGTGGCACTTGGAGAAGAACACAGGTGGCCCCAATTTCAAAGCAGCATGTCCTCGTCCCGACCGTGGCCCCGCGGGCGGGCTGTTCTGGATCACTGGCCCCTACCTTGGCTTGGAAAACATGGCCATGCGTCATAAAACGCTGGTTTGGACATCGGTGTGAGAAATAATGTACTTAATTACAAGTAAGAAGCAGGTTGAGATGTGTGAAAAGAGCAGCCCTTTCCTGCCTCCTGCTCTGCAGGCTTTCCTCTCACGCTTGCCTCCTCCTCACACCTTCTCCACACAGCACCTCCCCAGGCACGGGCTCTCCCAGCCCGCACACCAGTGTCCTTTTCTGCCCTGCCTTTGTCTTTGCTGTTCTATCCTCTCTTGCCCCTTCTGCACTTAACCAATTCGTACTCCTTTAAGATTCACTTCTGGTGCCCCCTTTCTAGAAACCTCGATAGTCTGGGGGCTTCTTACTGCCGTCCACAGTGCCTTCAGCAGATCTCTGCCCTCGTTTCATTATGCAACGCAGGCCCAGCAGGCAGGTGTTCAGGACATGTCTGCTGACTGAAGGAAAGGCAGGCAGGAAGTGAGGCCACGCGCCCCGACCTGAATCCAACCCCAGCACCATCCTCGGTAAATGCCCGGTGCTAACTATGGTTTCCTGTAGGGGTAAGGCTGTGTGAGAGAGAAAAAGAAGAACCTGGCGAGTAGGGCCCCTGCCCCTGTTTTGCACAGCCCGGGACTGGCACTTGGAGTGGTGGGCAAAGTCACCGGGTAATCAGACAGCAGGGCTCTGCTTCTCCGAGGAGGAAGGCTGAGGCCCCAGAGGGTCCAAAAGGGGCCCCACTGCCACCCGACTGCCGGAGGACTGGTGATGCTGAGCTGGCCCCAAATAGAAGCTGGGTGCAACCTCAGACTACTCCCTAAATAGCTCTGTGCCCCTGCCATCTGCTGCCAGGCAGTTAGGAACAAAAGCAGCTTCCTTCAGGAAGAGCTGTCTCCCCAGCCATGGAGCCCCTCGTTACAACAAGCTGCCACCTACTTGGCCTCCCTGGCGTCCAGAACAGGCTGGAACTCTCCTGTCTGTCCCTTCCTCAGAGGGGCTCCAGGATGAAGAAAGTCAACTTGCTTTTCTTTCTTTTTTTTAAATGTTTTATTGATTTTTTACAGAGAGGAAGGGAGAGGGATAGAGTTAGAAACATCGATGAGAGAGAAATATCGATCAGCTGCCTCCTGCACACTCCCTACTGGGGATGTGCCCACAACCAAGGTACATGCCTTGACCAGAATCGAACCCGGGACCCTTCAGTCCGCAGGCTGACGCTCTATCCACTGAGCCAAACTGGTCAGGGCTTTTCTTTTCGACAGTATTACAGATGCCGCCATTCCTCCCTCCCGTTGCCCCTTCCATCCAGCCCCTGCCCCACCCCAGGCCTTCCCCACACTATCGTCTGTGTCCATGGGCAATGCATATATGCATAGACTAGTAAACTCTTTGGTTAATCTCTCCCCTCCTCGCACCCCTGCCCTTTGAGATCTGTCAGTCTGTTCTACAACGTGCTTTCCTCCAGACTGCAATCAATGTGGTGTGACTTCCCTACAAGGTGGGTCTAAAGAGATTTCAGCCCTAGCGGGTTTGGGTCAGTGGATAGAATATCGGCCTGTGGACTGAAGGGTCATGGGTTCAATTCTTGTCAAGGGCACATGCTCAGGTTTCAGGCTCAATCCCCAGAAGGAGGGCGTGCAGGAGAAGCCGATCAGATTCTCTCTCATCATTGTTTCTCTCTCTCCCTTCCTCTATGAAACATATATTTATTAAAAATAATTTTAATCCAAACCCTAGCCCTTGCTAGAAGAGAATGGTACTTGATAATATTTGTAATCACTCTGGTTTCTGAGAGTTCGCTAATCCCGAATGAAATAGGTTACCATTCCACTGTTGAATTTCACTCCATTTTGGCTCAAGAAAGCAGTAAACAAAAATTTCTGGTTTATGTAGACTTGTACTCCTGAAACCAATATAATTTTATTAACCAATGTCACCCTAATAAATTCAATTTTTAAAAAAGTACTTTAAAAATTTTCATTTTGACCCCCATCCCCACCCCTGTGTTTCTCTCCCTGTCCACCTAAACCTCACCTTCAATTATTTCTTCCCCTCCTTTACTTTTAATAGCCATGAAACATGCCACGTGCAAAGCTCTTTGACTGGAGGAATGTGTTACCCATTAACCCAAGCCCTTTCAATTCGATCAAAGAAGAAAACACTTCAGATCTTTTTGCAACATTATCAGCTTGTCTGTAGTGGCATACTGCCATCACCGAAGTCAGTGACTTTAATAAACATCTTAAAATTGTTCACCACAATGTCCCACCCAAATCAAATTTCCATTCCAAAGCAAGGTTTACTTTACTAAGTAATAGCCAGAAATTACTGAGACTTAGTGTCTAATTTTAGATAAATTAATAAACAAGAGGCTTTGTAGACATAGGCCCTGACCTTTGTCAATTAACTGAATCTCCAGCTGAACCCTGTGGAAGAGAGGTGGCAGAAACAGAGCCTTGTTTTAGGACATTTTATTTTTTTAAAAATATATTTTATTGATTTTTTACAGAGAGGAAGGGAGAGAGATAGAGAGCTAGAAACATCGATGAGAGAGAAACATCGATCAGCTGCCTCCTGCACATCCCCCACTGGGGATGTGCCCGCAACCCAGGTACATGCCCCTGACCGGAATCGAACCCGGGACCCCTCAGTCCACAAGCCGACGCTCTATCCACTGAGCCAAACCGGTTTCGGCAGGACATTTTTTAAAATGATTTTTTGAGAAAGAGAGAGAGAACCTCTGTTTGTGGTTCCACCCATTTAGGCATTCATTGGTTGGTTGTTGTATGTCCCCAGTCCCTGACCAGGCATCCAGGGCTCAAACCTAAAACCTAGGCTTAACAGGAAGACGCTCTAACCACTGAGCTACCCGGCCAGGGCTTTAATCATCAGGTTTCTAAGCTGTTGTTCTTACCTTTCAAATAGGAGGATGCTGGCCACTTTACATTGTTCCCCTATTCCCAACAAAGGCTTTGCATACTCTACTGGGGACTGTTACTTGCATTGCTTGTACCTTACAAGTATCAGATAGTCTAGTTCAGTGGTTGGCAAACACATTAGTCAACAGAGCCAAATATCAACAGTACGACCACTGAAATTTCTTTTGAGAGCCAAATTTTTTAAACTTAAACTATATAGGTAGGTACATTTTTATTAACTTAATTAGGGTACTCCTAAGGCTTAGGAAGAGCCACAGTCAAGGGGCCAAAGAGCTGCATGTGGCTCAAGAGCCGCAGTTTGACAACCACGTGTCTAGTTGATAATTTTGTAGCTAAATTCAAGAAAATGAGCTAAATAAACTGGACTTTATTTTTTAGCATTTGTCTCTTCAATGCAATTATTATCTACTTAGTTTCAATTCACAAATAACTTGAATCCATAGGTAAATCTCTATTTGATGGGCCCAGTTTTAATAGAACCAATAGAATGATTGCTTATATCAAAAGAGCTAGCACAGCCCTGGCCGTGTAGCCAAGCTGGTTAGAGCACTGTCCCAATAAACCAAGGCTGTGGGTTCGCTCCTCAAGCAGGGCACATACAAGAATCAACCAATGAATTCATAAATAAGTAGAACAACAAATCAATGTTTCTCTCAAATTAATAAAAATAAAAGAGCTAGCACAATGCTTGTTGCCATTCTGCACATGGTTAGTGGGAAGGCTAAAGTGATGGCTGTAGAAAGGTTTTATATTTGCATTTAAGTCTCAAAAGTAGCTTTTTAATCATTACCAAAATGATTTTTTCTTCACTGATTGGCCAATGATTAGTGTTATTAGTACTCAGTATTGTTATATCTCTGTTTTTCCTAAATGAAAAATCCATACTGGCATCAGAAAACCTAAAAAGCTTGTTAGAGATTCAGATTACTGCCCTCCATCCCCCTTCCCTATCTGAATCACAATATTTGGTGGAATTTTTTTTGCACGTGTGTGTGTTGAAAGCTCCCCAGGAGGTTCTGATGTATAAAGCATAGAACCTTGGTATAGATAAAACCAGCTGGTTGCCTCATTTTCACATTTCAACAGTCAATTTTGTGTAAGTCCTACTTTAGTTTGCCCACAGTTGTTTCCAGTCTCATAAGGCAAATTAAGTCTTTGAATCCTTGTACAAAGGGAAAGTTCTATTATTGTCATAATATCACAGTCTAACGAGTAAAATGAAAATTACAACTGGATGATAAAAATGGAACTTGATACTAGGGTTTTTCAATGACAAGATTAGCATTTTATTTTTCTATTCCTGACAATCAAATTCATAGGAGGTGAAGAGATAATAGAACATAAAAATAACATACAAACACAATTCAAGAACATTTAACCATCTATTGTAGTGTTCTTTTTAAAATACATAAAGGTAAACAGAAATATCTTTATATAAATTATGCTTAACAATCTGTATACACTGTAAAACAACTGTTAAAATTCACACTAAGATACTAGTGCAAGCAGTGTACAAAAGTGCAAACAAGGTTAGTGATGAAAACTTATCACCACCTTACCACTTCAACATACTCTGCATTCAGCCAAATACTGAAGGCCTCACCATGGAAAACGCTTTGATCACTTATAAAACCACCGACTACATTCACCCTAGTGCTCTCGCCTCAGTATGGCAGCTGATTGCACTCAGGTGGGAGCAGCACCAGGGAATACAGAAACCTGTGTAGAGCAGGCCATTCTGATGTGAATCCCTACACTTGACAATGAAAAAAATTCCAAAGACAACTTGTAAGTCAAAACTGTAGACCTGTCACCCCTTTTTACACTCCCCCATTTTTGATATGTATTTTTGCCCTCCAAATTTTTTAAACTAAAATTAAACCTAATCCTCCTCCCCTATTTAAAATGCATGCTGAAGAATCCATCCACTCCAATGCAGCTTTTCCAAAAATTAATTCTGCGTAAAGTCACACAAAATCATCAGGTTTCTAAGGTTTCATCAGAGGTTCTCTCTCTCTCTCTTTCTCAGGTTTGTTTCTCTTTCCCATTTCTGCCCTAAAATTTATTTTGGGTGGGGGCACTAATAAAACAAAGTTGACTTTGGATAAGTTTGTTTACTTGACTTTGGATTCTACTTAAAAGTGTGGTCAAAGACCTGAATAATCAACCGTGGTATTACATATATTAGCTACTCAGTGTTCTAAATTCTGGGAACAAAAATTAGTTGGTTCCGAATTGCATCTTCAATGGACTGTGGACTTCCCTTCATCCTCGGGAGTCTTTGTATCCAGGTGTGGAGTAGAGGTACGTGAGGGGGGATGGTACAGGGGGAGTAACTTGGTTTTAACAAAATCCCGATCACTTTACACAGAGGCACAGTCCTCTATTACAAGAGCTTGCTCGTTTTCATTTTATTTTATTTTTTTATTACAAAGCACTGATCTACTTTTCAACAGGACAATGATGGAAATAGCCAGAAGCATCAATGTGTAGCTTTGAGAACTTAGTCTTTCACTGAAAAGAAATTGTTTTCTGAATCCTCTTGTTTATAGCAAAATATTAAAGGTTTATAGAAAGCCTTTAATTTCCTATTAATTTTAAATTAAGGAATTTGTACTTGCTAGTCTCTATTTTCATGCTTTCTTGGAGATTTTTCTGAGGCTTCACTAACTTTTATATATGTTTAAAATAATCCAAACATTACCCTCTAAAGAAAATGAAAACAAGATACTTTGAAAGACTTTCCTTTAAATTAGCTATTCTCAGTGTACTGTGGTACACTTAGTTGGCAATAAGTCCTTGCAGACACGTGACTAACAAGACTTCAGACACGTGACTAACAAGACTGAAATGCTACCCTGGCTGGGTAGCTCAGTTGGTTAGAGCATCATCCCAATACACCAAGGTTGTGGGTTGAATCCCAGGTCAGGGCACATACAAGAATCAACCTATGAATGCATAAATGAGTTGAACAACAAATTGATGTTTCTCTCTCTCCCTTCCTCTCTAAAATAATAAAGACTGAAATGCCACATTGAATCACATACCAAATACAGTTTTAGGAAATGTGAACCTTTCCCCGGAATCTCTCAAATCATGTCAACTAAGAAGTATACTGTTTTTGATGGTGGTACTTGTGAAAATGCTGCCTTGTTTGTTTTGAGGTATTTTTTAGAAGGAGAGGAAATGAGAGGGGGAGAGAGATACATCAGCTGCCTCCTGCACAACCCCATCAGGGATCGAACCTGAACCCAGGCACGTGCCCTGATCAGGATTTGATGCATGGGGTGATGCCCAACTGAGTCACACAGGCCAGGATGAAAATGCTGGGTTTTGAATGTGGTTGATCAAATCATTTTGCAGAAGGCAAGAGTAACTGTGTATTATCACAGCTATTACCCTATTTAATGATTTATAAGTAGTTTCTGTACTGGAAAACACTATAGAGAAGGGTAAGCCAGTTGAAAACAAGAAAAGAAACAATATTCTGCTTATATGTTGTAAACTACAATAAATTTGTCTATGTACACAGGCACACAAAACTAAAATTTAGATCTATGCAGGCAACATCTGAATTCATACATCTTTGGCACTCAAAGATACTCAGTCAACTAAGCAATGGTAAAGAATATTTTTTCATATCCAGTAGTCTCCCCTCTTATCCTTGGTTTTAGTTTCTGAGGCTTCAGTTACCTGTGGTCAACCATGGTCTAAAAGTATTATATAGAAAATTCCAGGGGGAAAAAATCATAAATTTCAAATTTTGTGCCATTCTGAGTAAAGTAGTGTGACGAAATCTCATGTCGTCCTGCTCTGTTCCACCCAAGACATGAATCATCCTTTGTCCAGTGTATCACTCTGCACACACTACCTGCCTGTTAGTCACTAGTCTCTTAGTAGCTGGCTTGACTATGTATCACAGCTTATGTTCAAGGAACCCTTATTTTACTTAATAATGAGCCCAAAGCACAAGAGTAACGATGCTGGCATTTCAGATAGCCAAAGAGAAGCCATAAAGTGCTTCCTTAAAGTGAAAATGTATGTATATATAGGGCAAAACATAGTACATATTGCTCAGGACTACCTGGGATTTCAGGCATCCACTGGGGGTCTTGGAACTTCTCTCCTGTGGATAAGGGGGTACTAGTGTACTTTAGGAAATGTCTATGCCCCAATTTAAAAAATGCTGTACTCTCCATTCTAAAAATTCACTGAGATAAAAATAATAGAAATAAAAATTCACTAATATAAAGATAAGCTGAAATCTATCAATTTAACCAGTCACCCAAGAGTATAACTAACAACAGTCATTGAAGTAGGTATGGGGTTAAAGAATCTCTTTAGAAATATAAAAGTGGGCTAACACTTTGTATTTTTAGAGTTTTGGAATTAAGATTTTAAAACACCTTTTGGACATCCTGATTTATATGGAACCAAATCTTAACTTTTATATAACAGTGTTAACAATTACATTTTCATACCTTACAGTGAGAGGTGCAAAGTTAATCTATATTCTTATAGGACCATTTACACTCAACATACTCCCCAGGTGCACACACTCACGCAGGCACATACAGGGTATATTTTTCTGCAAGTGCTTCTGCTTCTTGCCATCTCTTGAAGGGAGCAGGGACTCGGTGTGTGTGCTCCGAGGGGCTCTCAGAGCTGGAGTATGCCCAGTAGCTGGGGAACTCTGCAGCCCACGTCCCTGGCACTGGGAAGGCAGCCGGTTGCTGCTAAGTGCAGCTTCTTTCTAGAGGTTCAGGCCACATGAATCTTACGTCATTGGGAAAATATCCACAGTTTAGACGTGGTCCACAAAGTGACTTTGTTTCTTTGATCCCAGTGTCAGAACTAGAATAAGAATTCTGGAACGAGATTTGTGTACCAAAAAAAACATTTTTCCCCTTTAGAGAAACCAATAAGCTTTTTCCTTTATACCAATTTATGAGACAAATAATTAACTTCTCAAGTATCATACTAGATATTAGGGAATACGTGAACTGAAGAAAGATACCATCAACGAGAGGCAGTTACTTTTAATAAGGCTTAGTTCTGTTAGTCACGCCATCAGACGTGAGGACTTTAAACAGCTGGCAAAATAAACCAACAGGCAGAAATGTTATTTTCTACTTTTCCCATGATACTACTGATGTTTCTAAGCAGGGAAGAAGCTTTTATTTTCATTTGGAAGGAAACTGAAAGTGAAATAGAACAGCCAAATCACTAAAACCCAATGTTATGTTAAGAAATGGCCTTGTTGGTTTAGCTCACTGGTAGTTCCTTCCAGTCATACTCCTCATCCTTGCCTGCCTCATGTGTTAACATTACCGATGAAAGGCTGTGGTGACTGATTTGGACAACAGCTAAAGAAAACACTAATTTTAATATTTAAATTATTCTCTTTTTTATTATTTAAATTATTCTTTATGGAGCCAGAGCAATCTATTTTCAATGGAATTGGTTAAATATACTATAAAATCTCTGTTTATAACCAAGAGAGAAATCTTAAGCTTGAGAGTCTTTAAATACATGTATTTGGCACTTATCTTTCATCTTATTTTACTAATTAGGGGAACCTCAAATGGAAAAAAAACACTCAGTGTCTTAGGAAATTAAAATGTTTTTAAAAACTAACCAAAATTTTGTTAGTGAGTTTATCAGTGAGGTTTGCGGACACTATCACATGGCAAGTATAAGATCTAAAAGTAAAAGCCTTTATGCTGTAATGTAACAGCTGGCTGAGAGCAACTAAGGAAAAGAAAAAGCACATACACTTTCTTTCCAAGAAATAAAATATGACAAAGAATACAAAAGAGCTATGGGACAGGAGCAGTATCTCCACAATTTCAATGACACCTGGAGCAGAACAGGCTTTCTTTTCCCGCAGATTCACGGGTCCCTGCAATGAACTGCACAAGACCCTATTTGTCACTTGCTCTGGGAAGTGCCATTACGTATCAAGAGCCTGGGGGGTACCTCTAAATGTGGGGAGGCTGGGGCCTGTCACTACGTTTGGTGACCAGGCACAGATTACCAAACCAGGCATCAGTAAGATTGGAGCACTTGAGAATTAGACAACTGGAACGGACCTATAGGGGCCTAGCAAACCAAAATCCAACCTGTGGTGTACCAGAAGATGTGCTTTTCTTTAGAAGGCCAGTCCCACAGGGACTAGGACACGGACCCTATCAGCACTGGGAATGGTAGTGTTCCTGATTAAAATGCACAGGATTCAGAGATAAAGTGGTATAAAGTACAATCAAACACAACTTGTCTCCTGGTAAATGCGAAGGTCTCTAGGAACTGAAACATTATTCTAAATATTCTGAAGCAATCTCCTTTCCCAACAACCACCTCATGTGTATAATATAAATATTCCATTTCAGAGCATACTAGCTAGATAAGACACATTAAAATGAAACATTTGTCCAACAAAGATGCCAAACATAAGGGTCTATTTTATTGCATGACGTTTGCATAAGAAAAAATATTATTGAAACCTGTAAGGCATCATGCAATCATCAATAAGCTAATTATTAACTGTATACTTAAGATAGGTGGAGATATAATCTAAAATTTAAAAACTAGTTCCAAAAGTACATAAAAAATTTAACATGATGAGCTTTTAATTATAGTTTATATTTGTCATTTCACATTGTTAAAAAGTGCTTCAAATGTACTGCTGAAAAGTCGCTGTTTATAAATGGCGCTGGGGGTCATGTCAGATTACAAACGGTAAAAACTAATTATCTTCATGGAATTAGAAAGCTAACATTGTGATATTCAAACTTACTTGAATCAGTTTTCAATTGTCACTCAAATTAAGTCGATATAGTATTAATAATCTAAAAAATATCTGTTTTCTAACCAACAAAAGTCTATTGAATTCAAGTTATGCATGTTCAACAATCAAATCTCTGAGTAGGCCTGAATGGCAAGACCTGGGCCTGAGGCAGGTTGGTGGTGTTAGTCAATGTACTGAGCCATCCAGCGGAAGCCTTCTCCATAACCTTGCCTTTTGAGCACACTGCACATAAAAACTTCTAGTGGCCGGGCATTCAGTTCTTTCAGAGATACATTGCCCTAGAAGAGAAGACAAACATTATGCTGGATGAAACTTTTGTGGAATAAAAGCCCCACTCCCCAGCAGAATTATAGCTTATGTATCGTAGAACAAAAGGTGACTGGATAAAGTCACTTCAGGACCAAATGGGAAAAGGTGGGCTTGTGAGGCATACAAGAATGAAAATCATCTTTGAGAAAAATTTCAAGTTACCTCAACTGACTTCACAAACATTAAGGATGAATATTCTCTATGTAGGTTTATGACTAAACAAGGCATTTCCTAAAATTAATATGTAATTGAGTTATTAAAAAGATATAGAAACAAACCAAAGTCTACCTTGTGTAACATAAGAGTTTCCGTCCATAGCCTACAGTATTTCTAAAGTCAGATTATATGTAAACCAAGGAAATATTGTTTGTAAACTCTGGAAATTTTTTTTTCATTTGAAGATCTAATTGACTTTATTAAGTAGTCCATGAATCTAGCAGCATCCAATCTGGCAACTAGAAGAATGCCCCCAACTCTGGGATTTTTTTAATACTAAGGCCCCTCTTCTGAACAAATCCTAGTGGAAATGAATGCAAAAATAATGCATCTTAAAGTTTATTAAGTATGTGTTCAGAAAACCCAAAACACTCCTATGCCCAAGTTTACATTTTATTTTTATCTCTGGTGAACTCAGGGACTACACACTAAACTGGGGGCCTAAATACACTTCTGGTATGCTTAACCATTCAAGTATATTATTTGGTGGTTAATTTTGAAAATTTATTTAGCTCAGCAGAGTGGCTCAGTGGTTGAGCATCAACCTCTAAACCAGGTTATGGTTCGATTCCCGGTCAGGGCACATGCCTGGGTTACAGGCTCAATCCCTAATGTGAGGCATAAAGGAGGCAGCCAATCAATGATTCTTTCTCATCACTGATGTTTCTATCTCTCTCTCCCTCTCCCTTCCTCTCTGAAATCAATAAAAATCTATTTAAATTTTAAAAAAAACTTTAAAAGCTGACCCAGGGCTTGCTTTCCTCTCAGGAGCATGCGTGAGCCTTTCTCTTCCGCCTTTCCCCTTCCCCCCTCCCCCAAATCACTTTCCTTGGCCTTTCTCTCC